GTAAAATAAGCCAGACATAAACCAAGAAATATTGAGCCAGTTATGGTGGTGCATGTTTGTAATTCTAGAGATTGCAAGTTTAAGGCCATTTAGCCAGGCCCTAAACGATGTATGGAGATCTTGTTTCAAAATAAAAAATAAGGCTGGTGCAGTGGTACACACCTGTAATCCCTGCAGTTCTAGAGGCCAAGACAGGAGGACTGCAAGTTCAAAGCCAGACTCAGCAAATTAGTGATGCTCTAAGCAACTCAGTAAGATGCTGTCTCTAAGTAAAATTCAAAAATGGGCTGGGGATATGGCTTAGTGGTAAAATTTGTCTCTAAGTAAAATTCAAAAATGGGCTGGGGATATGGCTTAGTGGTTACGCACCCCTGGGTTCAAAACCAAACAAATAAATAAATAGATAAATAGGGCTGTGGGTGTAGTTCAGTGGTAAAGCACCCCTGTTTCAATCCCTCAAACTCAAGTACAAAAAAAAAAGACAAATATTGTATGATTCCACTTACATGAGGTACCCAGAATAAGCAGTTAAAAAGATGAAGTAGTAAAGAGGTTATCAGCGGCTGAGGGAAGGAGGAAATGGTAAGTGATTGCTTAATGGGTATTGAGTTTCTGTTTGTGATGATGAAAAACTTCTGGAAATAGATAGTGGTGATTATGCAACACTATAGATGAATTAACGCCACTGAACTATGCACTTAATAATGGTTCAAGTGCTACATTTTTGTATTTATTATATTACATTAAAATAAAATAGAAAATAAAAGAAAAATAAAAATCTAGGAGATAAACAGATGAATGTGTTACATAAATATGAGCAAGAAGAGTAAGGTGAGTGCATGAGGCCTTCCAGACAGAGCATAGCTTGCAGTACATGGTCACAAGTTTGAGAATCGTTGGGGGGAGACACAGGGGTTCTCAGAGATGAATGGAGAAAGGAAGTCTAGTCAAGAAATGGGTTACAAAATTTAGTTGCAAATTGTGGGGGGAGGGTATTTTGACCTTACCTCATTCCATACATCAGGTAAATTCCAAATCAATAAGCCTCTAAAGTCTTGCCAAATTGCTGCAATGGCCACTTGACCTTTGGCCACTTCTACTTGATCCTTTAGTAATATTTCCTTCTTGGGCCAACCCCTTGAAACACATCCTTTCCTGGGTGTCTACAGTATCACACTTCTTGGATATCTCCCTAAGTCACTGACCTTCTTATCTCACCCCTAGGCAGAAGTAGGAGTGAAAAGGGAGAATAGGCCAATAGATTTAGAAATTATTTGAGACCTGGCTGTGGTGGCCCATACGCCTGTAATCCCAGCTACTCAGGAAAGGTTACTTGAGACCAAGTAGAAACCAGTGAGACTCCTATCTTGAGAGAGGGTGAGGGGAGGGAAGAAAGGAAAGAATTATTTGGAACAGGATTCTCTGAAGGACTAGATATGGATTTTGAGAGTGAGTTGGGATGAATCTTATTTTAATTTAATTTAATTTTGTTTGGTACTGGGGATTGAACCCAGTGGCACTTAACTACTGAGCTACATTCCAAGCCCTTTAAAAAAATATATCTATATATATCTATATATATCTATATATATCTATATATATATATATATCTACATACATACGTATATATCACAGAGCCCTGACATTTGCTGTGAAAAGGCAGGGAGATGGGGACAAGAACAGTTTGAGAACCTCTATGGAGTTTCAAAAACAGAGATGCTCAAAGGGAGAAAGGTGGCTGATCACATTAAGTGCGACCGGGTGTTTCTCATGGATTTAGCAACATGGAGATTGTTGGTTATTTTGAAGGTGTGGTATTGGAGGAGTGAAGTGGGGACTTGACTAGATTGGGGGCTCTTTGGGAGAGCTTTGCTAGAAGGTAGGTATGGAGCATGGTGGTTGCTGGAGGAGGTTGTGGGGTGGAGGTAGGATGTCTTTTTATTTTGTTTTGTTTTATGGTGCTGGGTATGGAAACCATGGATGCTCAACCACTGAGCCACATCTCCAGCCCTTTTTATATGTTATTTAGAGACCCAGTCTCTCTGAGTTGCTTAGGGCCTCATTAAGATGCTGAGGCTGGCTTTGAACTTAAAATCCTCCTGCTTCAGCCTCCTGAGCCACTTGGATTACAAGTTTATGCCACTACACCCAGCTTGGAGGGGGATTTTTTTTTTTGAGGAGTAAAATTTTATTTTCACTGTCCAAACATTAGTCAACATACTGGGAAAGCCAGTGGGTGGGCGCGGGGTTAGGGGGGACAAAACCCTCACCTTGCCTCTTGTGCACACTGCACATGAACACTTCCATGGGGTGGGCATTCAGTTCCTTTAGAGTCACATTCCCGTTTCCTGTGGTCTGTCCATAAAGCTCAAATATCTTGCAAAGTTTTTCTTCACTGATTGCATTTATTCTGTTAATTTTATTTTGCAAGATAAGAATTGGCACAATGAATAGTTTCATCAGTCATTAAAGCATTAAGCTCAACTTTGGATTCCATGAGGTGAGAATGATCTACAAAGTCCACCAGAAAGGCAATCCCATTAATTGCTGGAAGATAATTTTTCCAAACCCGATGAGCTTGCTCATGCCCACCAAGATCAAAAGTTGTTAAAGTCATTCCAACAATTGTCAGCTCTTCTTCTTCTTCTTCTTTTTAATGCCTTTATTTTATTTATTTATTTTTATATGGTGCTGAGGATCAAACCCAGTGTCTCACACATGCTAGGCAAGCACTCTACCACTGAGCTACAACCCCAGTCCAAATGTCAGCTCTTCTGATGTTGGATGTAGTATTGGAACATGTTGGCCCAATTTGTCATCTTTGAGCATGTGAAGAAGAGTAGTTTTGCTTGCATTTTCCAAACCCAAGAATACAAGTTTTCCAGATTTTTTTTGTAGAGTCCTAGGGAACTGGAGCACACTGCTGAAGCCATTGTAGATCCACTCAAAGATGAAAGACATTATGAATGCTTACTATGGTCTGAGGGGCTCCTCCGAAGGTGGCAGGCGGCTGGGACCCTCCCTCAGAACACACAGACCCTGGGAGGGTGTTTTAATGATGGTATTTTCAGAGTTGGCTGCAAATTCGGGGGACCTCCAGATTGGGCTGTCTTTTCCTAGGTCCTCTATGATCTGGGTTCAGACTATGGCCCATTCACTGCCAGATTGTCCCAGTCCAATTCCTGCCCTGTTAGGCCGGTTTGAGGTGGCTAAGGGAACAAAGCACCAGGCAACCCGCAGGTGCAGAAAGAACAACCAATCAGGCCTGGACAGACAAGCAGGGATGGTGCTGTATAACCACTTGTCAATCAGCAGGGTCTCCTGACTAATCCTGGAAGGACACAGATCTCAGCAAGTTTCCCCTGATCAACCCCAGGAGAACAAGGGACTCTAAAAACCTGGGTCCCTTTCGTGCCCCAAGACCTCCTTCCTGCCCTAAACCCAATAAAATTCCAATCCGGCTGAGCCTGGACACAATTCTTCCTGACCCACTCTGTTGGTCTGAAGAGTGTTGCTGGGGAGCAAATCTCAATAAAGCCTTGTTCAACTGCTTTTAATCTGCCTCCTTTTGATCACTGTGCCTGACCTTACATGCCCAGCCTTACTTTTGGAGAGGTAAAGATTTTCTAATAAAGTGGCAGAGAAAAATAATTTGCTCTGGATAAGATTCACCTTAAAGCCAATTTACCCCAAAGCCAATCTGAATCAAGAACAATTTGCAATGTTCCATTTTCACGATTAATCTCATGAGATTTCACCTCCTGGAGAAACCATTGTTCATCCTCTCTGGCCTTGGGTGCTTCATATACTTTTCAGGAGTCTGGTTTTAACCATTTCAGAAATTTCTCCCCATTAGGATCTAGGTAATGGCTTTATTTTCTTATTTCTGGAAAGCTCCCATCATTACTGGGCTATTCTATAAACCAACCACTCAAGATATCCATCTTGATTCTTGAACATCTTCCATTCTAATTTTTTCAATGTGGGCACTTGAGCAAGTTATGAAGCAAATAAACACATTCAAATATTTGTTCTTATATAAGTCAAGAAACCTGTCTTTTTTTAATCAAAAAAAATATTTTTTTGTACCTGGATTGAACCCAAGGGCACTTACCCAGCCACCGAGCCCCATCCCAGTGCCCCTCCCCCTTTATTTGTAGTTTATTTAGAGGCAGGGTCTCACTGAGTCGCTTAGGGCCTCATTAAATTGCTGAGGATGGCTTTGTACTCATGATCCTCCTGCCTCAGCTTCCTGAGCTGCTGTGATTACAGGTGTGCACCATGATGCTGGCTGTCCTTTTAATTTTTGATACAGGGTCTTCTCTAAATTTATCAGAATTTATCAGGCTGGTCTCAAATTTGCCGAGTTTACAGGTGTGTGCCAGCACGCCTGAAATACTTCATTCAAGCTGGGAATGGAACCCAGTGCCTCAGGCATGCCAGACAAGCACTCCTGAATTACATTTCCAGCCCTACTTCATTCTTTTTTTTTAAAAGTCCCCCCACCCATGCCTTTATTTATTTATTTATTTTTATGTGATGCTGAGGATCGAACCCAGGGCCTCACACATAATAGGCAAACGCTCTATCACTGAGCTCCAACCCCAGCCCTATTTCATTCCTTTAAAGAGAAAATTGTTATTGTTTCATGGCCACTTCATAGTTTCAGTATTTCACGCTGGTGTTTTATGCCCTGGACCCAGACACAGGGAACACTATAGCTGCACTCCCGGCCCGCCAGATTCTGCTCTTGGCATGCAGAGGATTACAGACGCCTCCACTTGATGAGAAACCGTGCACTCTGCCTACGAAGGGTGGACAGACTGGATGGCCTGGATGGCCGGTGCTGCTGCGCAAGCTGACCAACAGCCTGGTGGACTGATGCCGGGCAGGCACTGCTGAACTCGCACACAAAACCAGCCACTAGCTGCTGTGAATAGCTACTGCTGCCCGCTAGGCGGCGACCGAGCGCCAAGTCTTCGGTACTGCGCCGGCGCCCCAGGCTTCACCCCGCCGCTCTGCGCATGTGTGACGCGACTGCGCACTAATTGGGCTACAAGATGGCGGCGTCCGCAGTTTGCCGTGCAGCGGGCACCGGGGCACAAACTCTTCTGCGCGCTCGCCGCTCGGTGAGGTGGCCGCGATAACGCTGGACTGCGGGGCTCAGGGCTTCGGGACTCAGAAGAGGAGTAGGCCATTAGCAGTGGCGGGTTGAAGTGGGGAGGTCACCAGGTCAGGGCCATGGAAAGGTCATGGCCGACTGCGGGGATGGACGTCTTTCTGCTGCTGGCCCGCGGTTGGGAATAGGGGTCTCACAGCGGACCCGGGTGCTGGGGAGCAATTCTCTAACCCAGTCCTCACTCGCCGCCTGTCCCTTCTCGCAGCCGGCAGTGCTGAGGGCGCTTGCCTTACGGGGTGCCGCAACCTTCGCCCAGGCCCTCCAGAGTGTGCCAGAGACACAGGTCAGCGTATTGGACAATGGGCTGCGAGTGGCCTCGGAGCAGTCCTCCCAACCTACCTGCACGGTGAGTGGGCAGTTCTGTCGAGGAGCGGGGGACCTCCAGCTTGGGCCATCTTTTCTTGGGTCGTGGTGTGACCTTCTTCTCTATGGTCTGGTTTCAGAGTATGGCCCACTCACTGCCAGATTGTCCCAATCCCTGATTCCTGCCCAGCCTTAACTTCATAGGGTAGTGTTCGCTTTTAGCCAACAATCCTTAAACACTTGCTGCCTGCCAAGTAGGGGGCCAAATTCCCTTACAGCGTTTTGCTTTGCTAAGAAAAATATGAGAGAAGAAATGGCGTCCTTGTCTTGAGAAAAAATGAAGAGTGGGATTCAGAGATTTTTAGGTGCCTTACAGAGGTCCACATTTCTCAGCCTCGCAGCCAAGATCACAACTTCCAAGCTAGAACAGGAATACACTTCGAGAAATGCATTTGAGGGGATGCAGTTGCTGGATTGTAGTTCAGTGGTAGATGGCTTGCCTAGCATGCATGCATGAGGCCCTGGGTTTGATCCTCAGCACCACATAAAAATAAATAAATAAATAAATAAAATAAACATATTGTATCCAACTACAACTAAAAAATAATTTTAAAAAATTGACTCAAGGATAGAAACTTTGACTAGATGTATGAGTAGGTGAGAAGATTCCCAAGAAATAATCCTTCCTCTTCCATATACACACCAGCTCCAGGGCCAGATGTTTTTATTGGCAAATTCTTTCACTTTTCCAGGAACAGATAATGTCCTGTCATACAGGTTGTTACTGAACACAGGAAACAGTGGTAGGCAACTTTATTGTTATATGGCATCTGACCCAAAGCCTGTCTAGAAAGCTTAGACTGTAAGGAGCACCAGTGTGCTTCTGTGTCAAAGGATACTGTAGAGTAGAAAATGCATCTTCCTTTCTGAGATATGGATTTGAAATAACATGTTCATCTAAGATAAACATAGATAGGTACATCAATATCTTGTTGGAAATGAGATGTGAAAAACTTAAATCATCTGTGAACAAATAGTAAATTAAAAGGATAGACCATTGTGACCATGTGGGGGGTGTTTCACAGCATACCAGGAGGCAGTTAAAATTTTAAGATTCTTTCATTGGGTGTCAGGGAGACACTTGACAGTATTTGGTGACTCTGATTAAAACCTTGATTTTTTTTCAGCCTGGGGTGTGTAGCTCAGTGGTAGAGCACTTGCCTAGCATGGGTAAGGCCCAAGTTTTATCTCTAGAACTGCAAAATAAATAAGTAAAAGTTAAGCTGGGGGGCTGGGGATGTGGCTCAAGCGGTAGTGCGATCGCCTGGCATGCGTGTGGCCCGGGTTCGATCCTCAGCACCACATACAAACAAAGATGTTGTGTCTGCCGAAAACTGAAAAATAAATATTAAAAAATTCTCTCTCTCTTTAAAAAAAAAAAGTTAAGCTGGGCACAATGGCATACACTTGTGGTCCTAAGTCCTTGGGAGGTTCAGGCAAGAGGGTCACTTGAGCCCAGGAGTTTGAGGTCAGCCTGGGCAACATGGTAAGAACCTCCTCCCTATCTTGAAAAAGAAAGAAGAAAGAGCCAAATGTGATGGCATATGCCTGTTATCCTCAGCAACTGAGGCAAGAAGTTTGCAAGTCTGAGGCCAGCCTAGAGGCAAAGCGCCCCTTGGGTTCAACTCCCAGAACCAAGAAGACAAAGTCACTAGAAGGTTACTTCCTTAATATGATAAAATATATAGCATCTTCTTCCTTAAAAATGAAAGGATAAAATCATCATCAGGGGCTGGGATTGTGGCTCAGTGGTAGAGCACTTGCCTAGTACATGTGAGGCACTGCATTGATTCTCAGCACTGCATGTAAGTAAGTAAGTAAATAAATAAGTAAAATAAAGTCCATCAACAATTAATAAAAATATTTTAAAACAGAACAAAGCAGAATTTTTAGAATGGAGAAAATAAGTGTTCTTTGCAAATGATAGACTTCAAGCCTAGATAAAATAGAATCAACTGAAAAGATAGTAAATTTAAAAACTTTATGGTGGTGGTGGGATCAGGTAAATGGGTACAGTTAGATATGTCACTGGGTACCAGGAGCTGTGACACTTGCCTGTAATCCCAGCTACTTGAGAGGCTAAGTCAGAAGGATTGCAAGTTTGGGGCCAGTCTTGGCAACTTAGTGTGGTCCTCTCTTGAATAATAAAAAGGGTTGGGGGTTTAACTTGGTGGTGGAGTACCTCCTTGGCTCAATCCCTAGTATTAAACAAACAAAAAAAAAAAACATGGAAGGAGCAGTGATGCAGTGTGAGTAGCCATTGGTTGGTTCTCTGTGCCATGGGCTCTGCTGTGACTCCAAGTACAGGGGTCCTTACTGGGAAAGCTTTCCCTCACCTTGGGATCCATAAGGCCCTATGTGGGGCTTATGCTGAATTATTCAGGGTGCATTGTGAGTGGTACAAGGATGTTTTGTTTATTTGCTGGTGACTTCTTGTGCAGGTGGGGGTATGGATTGATGCTGGCAGTCGTTATGAGACTGAAAAGAACAATGGAGCAGGCTACTTTGTGGAGCATCTAGCTTTCAAGGTGAGGCCTGTGAAGTTTTTTTCTTCCCTGGGCTTAGGGCTGCCTGTTTTGAGGTTGAAGATCAGAAAAATTAACCTCCTAATTATGGACCTCAGTTGGGGAGTGACTCTGGCTGGTCTTTCTGGAAGAAATCATGTGAGCTTATTGTCTTCTGATTGAGCACTTATGTGTGACTCCCTGTATGAAGTCCCCAGAGCTGAGAAAACCCAAATGCCTACAGAAGCCCCAGTTTTCACCAGGCTGGTATGTTCATGCCTGACTTATGGAGCTTTTACACACACACACAGACACACAGATTCATATGAATGGCATGTGTTTAGGGGTAGGTCACATCATTTGAACATAGCCATGATCATGGCTGTCAGGGGATGTGGAGTATTAGTAAAGACAGGTTATTATGAATGTTGGGCAATACTTGCTTTTTCCACAACCTTCTATCCCAACCCTGATCATCTCTGTTCTTTTGACCCATGATACTGTGACCTTGGTCAGCTCAAGGCCTGCAAGGGACCTCCAAGGAACCTTGTTCCTGTCCTTGAGGGGAATGACTTCTCTCCTTTGATTTCAAGATAGGGTAGAATTCTGCCCTTCTGCCTTTACTAGGACTGGCCACACAGGTATACTCCTCATCTAATACATGCCTCAGTTGGACTGCTGGCCCCTCCCTAGGGCTCAGGCCTCTCTTTGTCCCCCCTGGTGCTAGGATAACTAGTTTGTGGCTGTTGAGGGACATAAGCTCCTGGGTAGGCCTTGCCATTCATTGCCATTGGTTGAACCAGACATTGGGTATGTGATGATGCATACATGATGAGTTGGGAAGCACATTGAAGGCACACATTGAAGGCTCAGTGCATACAGACTCTGGGCCCTACATCCCTACCCCACAATCTTTGTGGAAGAAGGTACTTGTGAACTACTAGTCCTTTGGGGATTAGCCTGTGAGGGCAGAGTTCCCGGGCTTCTTTTGTGTCTCATGATTGGTGTTCTTGATGTCTGGTTTCAGGGAACAAAGAATCGGCCTAGCAATGCCCTGGAGAAGGAGGTGGAGAACATGGGGGCCCATCTGAATGCCTATAGCACTCGGGAGCACACAGCTTACTACATCAAGGCACTGTCCAGTGACCTGCCGAAAGGTAATGCTTAGAGGAGAGGGTTTGAAACAGAAGAATATAACTCTAGGGGAGCAGAGGAGCCCCAGCAGCCCCTGGACAGGCTGCAGAATTGATTATCCATGGGTTGTGGCCTTATGGCAGGATGACCAGTAGGGATGGGCAGCAGTAGGAGATGCCAGACTTGGGATTTTGTATTGTCATTGGTCTCCACTGGACACCTGAACATGTCCTTGTGTCCAGTCGTGGAGCTACTGGCTGACATTGTGCAGAACTGCAGCCTGGAAGACTCCCAGATTGAAAAGGAACGAGACGTGATCCTGCGGGAAATGCAGGAGAATGATGCATCTTTGCGGGATGTGGTCTTTGACTACTTGCATGCAACAGCGTTCCAAGGCACACCTTTAGCCCAGGCTGTGGAAGGGCCCAGTGAGAATGTCAGGTGAGAACTGACTCTGTGTTGTTTATTTTCCTAATTTTCTGCAATTGGAGACAGTTTCTGTATTGCCATATGGTCCCTGTGAACCTATTTAAATGGCTGTGTGGTCTTCACTTCAATCTTGGGCTTTGTTTTAGGGTATGTTTCCATGTATGCCCTTATAATCTAAGGAGGGAACATTTGGCTTGCAGGTGGGAGGTGTTTGAGAGCTCTGACCCTGCCCCTCGAGTCACACAGCGTCAGCTCACACCTCAGAGAGGGCTGTGAGACTGTCCTGAGGGCACATGTGAGGCAGGGCCAGATGAGGGCTCCACTCTGGGCCTTGAAAGGGTGGTTGGTAGAGATGAAGATGTAATAGGGCCTCTTCAGAGAGGCCATGTCTCTTCTCAATTCCATTATATCCAAGTTGCTATGGATTGGTAGAGAACTTGATCCATATGGGCTGTATGTTTTACAGGAAATTGTCTCGTGCAGACTTGACTGAGTATCTAAGCAGGCATTACAAGGCCCCTCGCATGGTGCTGGCAGCAGCAGGAGGTGAGTGATGGGCTCCTTGAAGCTCTGGGTAAGCGGAGCCTGGCCTTTGTAGTCAGAACCCCCATTTTCACTCCAAGGGACCTTGTTCCTGTCCTTGAGGGGAATGATCTCTCTCCTTTGCTTTCAAGATAGGGTAGAATTCTGCCCTTCTGCCATTACTAGGACTAGCCACACAGGTACACTCCTCATCTAATACATGCCTCAGTTGGACTAATGGCCCCTCCCTAGGGCGCAGGCCTCTCTTTGTCCCCCCTGGTGCTAGGATAACTAGTTCGTGGCTGTTGAGGGACATAAGCTCCTGGGTAGGCCTTGCCATTCATTGCCATTGGTTGAACCAGACATTGGGTATGTGATGATGCATATACATGATGAGTTGGGAAGCACATTGAAGGCACAAAATGTTAGGGGAGTTCAGAGTTAGTTATAGTGGGGACAGGTGAAGCATGAGTCTTTTGCCAGAGGCCCGAAGGATGGTAGGTATTTATTTGTTAGGTGGGGAATGGAGGACCTTGGCAGAGGTGTCATGTTCTGGTAATTTATTTTAAGATTTGTTCTACTGAGTGGGGCCAGAGCAGAGCAGGCTAACTAGGGATGAGGTGTGGCACATGCCTGGAGAGAGAGAGCAGGAGCTAAGGAGAGACTTAGGTTTTCTAGACTTAAGTTCTGTAGTTGAAAACCTCATACAGATCTGGATGTGGGTAGAGGAGGAGGTTCAAAATGCTTCCTGCTTATGGTCTTGGCAACTGGGTAGGTGAAAAAGACTGATAGGAAGAGCATAACTGAGGGATTTAGAGCCAGGAAACCTGGGACCAAGGGCAGTGTGAGCTACTAACACAGACTTTTCGAGTGATAGCAGAACTGGGACAGGCTGTCCACTGCCATAGTGATTACTGGTTAAATCACTGGGGCAGCAGAGGCCTCTTGTGGAACTGAGGAGGTGAGACCTGGAAAGGAGTCCTGAGGGTATAAGATTGTGATGCTCCTTGTAAGTGTTCTCAGCTCTCAGGGACACCAGAATTCATTATAGCCCTGCAATAGCACCTCTTTGTGCCTCTCACTTGCCACTGCTTTCATGACCAGCACCCAGATCTGCTTGTAGTAGGGCTTGAGGGACAAGGCATCCCCGTGACCTTATTCCCAGGAGCACCAGTCTTGTTCTTGATACAGGTGAGATGATGCTTCTAGGATGAGAATCGGCACTTACGTCACATAGCAGCATTCTCCACCTTTTTTTTTTTGTATCAGGGATTGAGCCCAGAGGCACTTAAGCATTGAGCCATATCCCCAGCCCTTTTTTATTTTTTATTTTAAGGTAGGATCTTGCTGAGGCTGTAGTCCTCCTGCCTCAGCCTCCCAAGCTGCTGGAATTACAGGTGTGTGCCCGGGTCATGGCAGCCCTTTTTTTGGGGGTGGGGGTTACTGCGGATTGTACTCAGGGACACTCAACCACTGAGCCATATCCCCAGCCCTGTTTTGTGTTTTATTTTGAGTTGCTTAATGCCTCACAATTGCTGAGGCTGGCCTTGAACTCACGACCCTTCTGCCTCAGCCTTCCATGCCGCTGGGATTACAGGCATGTGCCCCCATATCTGGCCTTTTTTGTTTGTTTGTTTGTTTGTTTGTTTGTTTTAATATATATTTTTAGCTATAGGTGGACACAATACCCTTATTTTATTTTTATGTGGTGCTGAGGATTGAACCTAGTTCCTCCCGCATGCTAGGCAAGTGCTCTACCCAGTTCCATGGCTGCCCATTTTTAAAGTGCTGTTTTTGCTAGGCATGGTGTTACAGTATCTCAGGAGACTAAGGTAGGAGGATCATGAGTTCAAAGCCAGCCTCAGCTACTTAGAAAGACCCTGTCTCTAAAACAAAATATACAAAAGGACTGGGGATGTAATTCAGTGATTAAGCGCTGCTGGGTTCAATCCCAAGTACAAAAAAAAAAAAAAAATGCTGCTTTTCTCTTTTGCCTGACACCATGGGAACTATTTGATCCTGAAGTGTCTTTCTTGCCTGTGAGATAGGGTCATTTGGCAGATGCTCCTCTTCCCTCATCTTATCTCAATGTTGTATTTTCCTTCTGCTGTCTCCCACTGAGACAGGACATAGGGTCTTGCACCTGTCTGTGATTCCCCCTGGCTAGCCAGTAACTCCATTGCCCATGTCCTCAGGAGTGGAGCATCGTCAACTGCTAGACCTCGCCCAGAAGCACTTCAGCAGCGTCTCTGCGACATACCCAGATGACACCGTGCCTACTCTAAGTCCGTGCCGCTTCACTGGAAGCGAGGTGTGCTGCCTGGTGGGCAGGGATGCTGTTGTCAACTGGGGATTTTGAGAGAACCCTCATATGCATGTGACCCCATAATGACTCAGAAGTAGGGAAAGGGTCTTGTGCCTGTTGCCTGAGGATGATTTTACACATATGTGCATGCTTCACCCACACCAGCCATCCTTTCTGTTTGTCCTGGAAGTCTGGCTATACTGTTCCTCAGCCCTTGACATGTACTCTTTCAGATTCGCCACCGTGATGATGCCCTGCCCTTGGCCCATGTGGCCATTGCAGTAGAGGGACCTGGTTGGTCCAACCCAGACAATGTGGCCCTCCAAGTGGCCAATGCCATAATTGGCCATTATGACTGCACTTACGGTGGTGGCGTGGTAAGTGTCAGGATTGAGCATAGGACCTTGCCTTTAAAGAAGAGAGTACTGCCGGGTGCATGCCTGTAATCCCAGCAGTTTGGGAGGCTGAGATGGGAGGATCGCAAATTCAAAGCCAGCCTCAGCGAAAAAATCAAGGCACTAAACAACCCAGAGCATGTCTCTAAATAAAATACAAAAAAAAAAAAAATGGGGATGTGGCTCAGTGGTTGAGTGCTTCTGAGTTCAATCCCTGGTACACCACCCCGCCCCCCCACCCCCCCCAAAAAAAAGGAAAGAAAAGGGAGTACTAAGCTGTGGGTTTCAGGGTATATGGGCCAGAGATAAGAGGGGGTGCTAACCATTTGTGCCCCTGGCAGCACCTGTCCAGCCCACTGGCTTCAGTTGCTGTGGCCAACAAGCTGTGCCAGAGTTTCCAGACCTTCAATATCTGCTATGCAGAGACTGGGTTGTTGGGTGCACACTTCGTCTGTGACCGTATGAGCATCGATGACATGATATTCTTCCTGCAGGGCCAGTGGTGAGTGGCAGCTGGGAACTACTGGGTGGGATAGAAATCTGACCAGAGAGGTGGGAGGTTAAGAGTCAACGCACTTGTCACAATGAACACTACCATATACCTGTCCTTTACTCCCTGCTTTAGGATGCGCCTGTGTACCAGTGCCACGGAAAGTGAGGTTACTCGGGGCAAAAACATCCTAAGAAATGCCCTGGTATCTCATCTGGATGGTGAGCCCTTTATCCCTAAAGGAAGGGGTAGAATAGTGCATCCTGGCAGTGACAGCTCATTGTAGCCATTATTACAAACCAAGATTGGAAAAGAAAACGTTGAAGGTCATGCCATGCTCCACCACCCCAACTATAGGGGTTTGAAGCTTTAGGTAGACATGGGGGTAGCCCATCACTGTGGAAATAGGTTGTTAGAAAAGTGATGGTTGTGGTCTGGAGTCAGAGCAAGGTCTTTGTTAACCTGATGCCAGGGATTTTATGTGTATATGTGGGTTCAAGATTGGACTGGGTAGATCTCTAAGCTTTCCCCACCATTAAAGGCACCACTCCTGTGTGTGAGGATATTGGACGCAGCCTCCTGACATATGGCCGCCGCATCCCCCTGGCTGAGTGGGAGAGCCGGATTGCGGTAACATGGGCCCCTGGGAGAGGTTCTGGAGTCTTGGCCTAGCAGAACCCTGAAAGGGGGTGGGATGTTGATGCCTGACGGGAGACTGTTCCCATAGGCATCTCTATTGTCCTAGGTAGCTGTCACCCATAGGGATGATGTAGTCAGAAGGAAGGGCAAAGGCACTAATGACTGTAGGGATAGGTGATGTCCATGGATGTCTACAGTAGGGAAAACCTTGCCACCCTTTTTGGATGAGGGAAATGTTCCACAGTACATGTGGGAGATCTTGGTCAGCTGGAGGAGGCTGGCTGACTGAGGTGGTGCCCAGTGCCTATTAGTCAGTTTGTCCTCTGCCTCTCCCTGCAGGAGGTGGATGCCCATGTGGTGCGTGAGGTCTGCTCCAAGTATTTCTATGACCAGTGTCCAGCAGTGGCTGGAATGGGTGAGTGGTCTAGAAAGTCTGCTTTTTGTCCTTTTCCTCAGATCCTTGTCCTAGTCTCCCCTTCCACTTCTGCTCCCCTACCTCCAGCCTACATTGAGAGAAGCAGTTTGAGGCCCCTGAGAGTAGTGTGGCTGCCAGGGAGTTCTTGCTCAGAAAACCTGTCCCAGCAGCTCCCTGACTCCCTGCCAAGGTGTCTTCATCAATATCCCTTACCCACCGGGTAACGGACACCCTGTTTGTTGGGTGGGGCTCTAAGGGCCTGAGCAAGAAAGGACAGGCTCTGCACCCCTAGGGGAATGTTGTCTTCCCTCTCTTCACTGAAAGCCTGTCTTGTGCTTCTCTGGGCAGCAGCTCTGAGCTGGGTATGGCACAGGGCCAGGTGTCCCTGTACAGAACAGGTACCCCACCCTGACACCTCACCCTATCCCCACAGGCCCAATCGAGCAGCTCCCTGACTACAACCGGATCCGTAGTGGCATGTTCTGGCTGCGCTTCTAGGCAAGATGCCTGTGCAGGCAAGAGGGTAGGATCGGGGCTCATGATCCCCCTCTACAAACATGCCACTCTGGCACCTCAAACCCATGCAATAGATACCACCAATAAAGTCCTCTGTTGAGAATTGTGTTGTACTTCCTTTATTGGCATGGAGTCCTTCAGTTCATGGAGGAACAAGCACCTCCCACCAGTTCTACATCCCCTGGATCCTTCTGCCTTCCCTCCCACACAGGCTGATGTGTTCTCAGCCAGGGGTAAGTTGGGGGCTGCAGCATAGAGGCCGGAAGTCTCTGATGCTTGTAAAGAACCCACTCCAGATGTTTCTGCTCAGCATGTGGCATATTAGCCAGCCTGTCTCAAGAGTGGGATGTGGGAGTTCATGGGAATAGCCCCAGCCTGTGTCCTAATAGGGGTCCCAGCCTGGAAACTAGGGCCTTGGGTGGCAAACCCCTCACTGCGGACCCTACACATAGTTGCTTCCTGGCAGTCCCTGGTCTGGTAGGACAGATCAGGAGGGGCCAAGAACTTTCCCTAAGGAAGCCTTCTTTGTGTTTACTCTCAGTCCTGGAAGAGGATAGCCTGGGGCACGGAATTCTCTTGGTTTCTAACTGCTGCCTGTACAGGCAGAGTAAGAATGCTTTGCCACGATTTGCCACTGACTCAGGCTCCAAGAATAGCCCTGAGCTCAGTGGGGCCTAAGCCCCCTCCCTCCACTAGATCTGTCTCAGGCAAGTCCTGAGCTGTTGTTAGGCTGTAGATCCCCTCCCCATTTTTTTTTTTTTTTTTTTTTTTAACTTTTTTTTTTTTTTTTTAGTTGTAGATGGCCATTATTTATTTGTTTATGTGGTGCTGAGGATCAAACCTAGTATCTCACACATGGTAGGCAAATACTCTACCACTGAGTCACAATCCCAGCCCCTCTCCCTATTTTTTTTTTTTTTGTGGGGGTGTGGGGGTGTGTGTGTGTTGGAGGAGGGAGGGTACCAGGGATTGAACTCGGGCACTCGACCACTGAGCCACATCCCCAGCCCTATTTTATATTTTATTTATTTAGGGTCTCACTGAATTGCTTAGCGCCTCACTTTTGCTGAGGCTGGCTTTGAACTTTTGATGCTCCTGCCTCAGCCTGTGGAGCCGCTGGGATTACAGGCAAGCATCACTGCACCCGGCCCCTCCCCTCTCCCTATTTCTTGAGGCTGTCAGGACCTTTTGGAGCTCTCAGCTGCCTTGTCATTTATTTAACTCTTTGAGTCCTGGTCCCCACAGCAGGTGGGCAGGTATGACTCTTTCTGTACCCTTGCCCTGTCTTTCCACATTCAAGTTCCTGGGGAGCCCAAGAGTGAAAAAGGAAGTGAGGGGCTTGAGTCTCCTCTGAGGATGTCTTTGGCTGGCAGTCATGAGCAGGGGTCCTGGGACAAGTTTTGTGGAGAGAGGGCTATGCTGAAGTCTCCCCAGCATCTTAGCCTGAAAATAGGCAAAACCTTGAATCAGTCTCACTCTGACCCAGTGCCTTTCCCTTACCCCCACTTCATGCCGCAGGTTGTCAATTAGGAGACATCTGTCCGATGCCTCCTATGGCTTAGGACTGGGGCATTTAGCAAATCATCTTCCTATTGTGTGACCAACTGGAGGAAAGCTGTTGGGTGGCACAGAACCTTGATGGACCAAACCCCAGTAGCTTTAAGAGATGTGGCACCCAGGCAGGGGGGGATCATTGCTAAGTCTGTTGCCCTAAGTTTGAGCTCCTGGAGGAGGCCACTTGATTTCTACACCAATGCCTGTCCTCCAAAGGCCAGGTGGACTGGACATAAGAGCTGGAGCCGCTGGGAGTCATCTGGTCTCCTTGCATTCTATTCGGGGCATTTGATATTTCCTTTAGAGGCATGTTGGGGAGGTGCACTGGAGGTTACTATGTGACTTGGTCAAAGCTGAGATTTCATTGGCACAGGGACTTGGCTGGATTTCTGTGCAGTCCTGGTGAACCATGCTGTGGTTGTGGCCATAGGGACAGCTAGGGTAGGTTGTGGAAGTACTTGCAGAACAGAATCTCTAGCAGTAGTATTGGGAGATCTAGAGAGGAGTGGATTGGAGGGGACAACCTGCCCAGCTTTAGCTATGATTCTGGTGAGGAGTTTGGTGGCATCTAAGACAATAGGATCTATATAGCTAGAACCCCAAGAAGAGTCCTTGATTGGAGACATAGTGCCATTTGGTAGAGCTGGCGATCAAACCAAGGAAAGGAGTGTCTAGGGAAGTATAGGATGGAGAAGTTTGAACTCTGGGGGTCTCAGTGCCCTGGAAGAAGTACAGGTAGGTACTGGCCTCCAAGGCTATGCCTTAGGCTATATGTACTCATTCCTAGCTTTCTTCCTTCCCAAAAGCCTGTCTCAAATATCTTCTGAGTGTCTCCCTCACAGCAGCCCTTCCTTTCTGGGTGCACTTCAGTTCTGGCGAGCTTTGCCTGTATATCCACTTTCTCAGCTGGGTCTCCTGTCTTTTCCTAAAGGCTGGATGCATGTGTACATGTATGTCCATATTGTGCATTCCTTCTCTGAGACCCTGCTCTCACCTACCCTTACAGAGGAGGTGATAGTCTTAGGAGCAGGAGCTGTCTCTGATGAGAAGTCGTTTGGTTTTCTGCTACTCTTACTTGGAGCACACCTTCCAAGGTTGGGGTGGGAGTCCTGGGACACAGCTGAGGAGACCTTGACCTTGGAAAAGGGTTTTGGGTCCCCTAAGGTCACTGCACTGTGTTCTAGGATAGTTGGGGATGGGAGATGGTGTGGCAGACAGTGAAAATGGGCAGATCCAGCCTTCATGGGCAACAGGAAAATAGGCAGTATTGGCTGGTCCTCACCACTCTGAGGTTTGGCCATACCAGAAAGTCCAGAAAGACTCAAGGGGAAACATTTAATAGAAATTCTATCCCCATTCCCTGACTCAGTCCATGTATTGATCTCCATGGGAGGAAAGCTATAGGGTCAAGCATATTGGAAGGGGCCCAGTAAGTGTAGATATGTAATGGGCTGCCCAGAGTTATCTAGGATTGGCAAGAAAACAGGGATCAGGACCCAACTGGGGGCTGGCTTTTCTTGGGAGTGTCTGCCTTAGTGTTACCCAGCCGAAGAGAGATGCATATGCAAAGACTCACTTCCTCTGGGCCTAAGTGGAGACTGTTTATAGTCATAGTGTTAACTGGAGGAGAGGGATGGGAAATCAGCCTGATTAATGGGAGGGGAGTAAGAGAGGGGAGGTGGTATTTATGAAGGAAGAAGCTATAAGTATATTGAGAGTGACTTCTGGGCTTGGTAGGGCAGTTAGGTGGAAGACTAGATTGAAGGAAGGAACTCCAGCAGATCAGAATAAGGACATGTAGATAGGGGGACCTGGCTTGGGATGAGGACACCAGGAGGTAGATTCCTAAGGGATCAGCTGCCACAGTGGGTGGTCTCACCCTCCACATATGGACTACCCCACTCCCTGAAAATACAGCTGGAATGCATCCATAGTCCTAGTAGGGAGTGCAGGGGTACTGGGATGGACACTTAGGCATAAGCATAACCTCCTGGGTTCTCCCTCCAAAGAGGAGGGATACATTAGTTATATCCAGCTCAATGGGGCCTTGATCTACCTCAGGCTCAGTTTCCTCTTGCTGGAGGCTGCTCTGTCAAGGAGGTTGGGGTGGGGCACAGGAGACCCACCAGACAGAACATGACTGATTCACAGGAGCGTCCTTAGTCGGCACCCATGGCCTGCAGGCTTGTCTGGGCACCCCCTAGTTGGGGGTGAGTCATCTTCAGCTGTAGCCCCTGCCCCCCCCCCCGCCCCCACCATCCTGCTGCTACCCTTTCGTCTGCAGGAACCTATTCACATTTCAGCCTCCAGCTGTCGTGACTGGTCACTCTGACCTAAATGAACAAGATTTGTAATCCCAGATGGGGTTGAGGAGCTCCCTCATCATCTGTCAAGAAAGGGGGGGATTCCCAGAACGCAGGATGGGGGCTTTGCACTTAAGTGCGTCATATTATCTGTCTGGGGAAAGAGGGGTGAGGGCGGTAACCTCTCAGGGAGGTGGGTGAGGGCGGGCCATCTTTGGTCCCCGCCCGCTGCTCCACCCGCCGCTCCACCCGCCGGATCGGGACTTTTCTGCAAAGTGCCTGCGGTACGGAGGCTGCGGCGGCAGCGACGGCGGCTGCAGGAGCAGGCGGTTTCACAGGCAAGATCAGAACTCGGGGTGGGGGAACACTGAGTTGGGACCTAGTAAAGCCGACGGGGCAAGAGACAGAGGTGGGAGTATCTCTGATCGTTTCTATCACCCAGGATGAAGCTGCGGCTCCTGTTGGCCGCGCTCTGTGCCGGGATCTTGACGGGGTCGTCCAAAGTGTGGGCTCAGCCCAGGGAAAGAGGTGGGCACAAGCTAGGAAGAATCCCGTAGTACCCTGTCACCCATGGCTCCACTTGGCCTTCATCACTAATACCTTCCCCCATATCTCCACAATCCCCATGGATTCCTCCTGGGGGAATGCCTCCTAAATCTCTCAGACTCCTCAAATGCTCCAAAATCTGGTGCTGGGTTCTTCCAAATTGCCTCTTATCCTGCACAGACCCAAATTCTGGCACCCTAGATGCATGCTGAGTATTCTGCTTTATGCCACTCTTCACTGGTCCCCTGAGACTGACCTCAGTTCCAGATAGATCCACACCAGTGTGGGCAACTCTCTCTCCCAGTACTTTCCAATTCTCTGCAGGAGAGTGTGCTCTGGGTCCCATTGTAGCTCCCTCCAAAGCTCCCAGGCCCACACAGAACCAGCCAGTTTGCATAAGTATATGAGGCCTACTCGCCACCTTGCCCCTCAGTCACAGGGGACCACAGTGCCTGGAGGAAATGGGTGGTCTCCCAGAAAAGGTCTTAGTCTTTCCTTTCGGCTCCAGTGACCTGCACACGCCTTTATGCCGCTGACATCGTGTTTCTACTGGACGGCTCCTCCTCCATTGGCCGCGGCAACTTCCGAGAAGTGCGGGGCTTCCTGGAGGGGCTGGTGCTGCCTTTCTCTGGGGCAGCCGGTACACAGGGTGTTCGTTTTGCTGCAGTTCAGTACAGTGATGACCCACGGTAAGTAGTGG